CCTGGAATCTAGTGCCTTGCTGCCCTGCCACTCGGGAAGCTGGCCTTGAGCTTGCACTGTGACAAGCCCGTGTATGAAGGCTGATGAGGCCACACAGCTCACACCGAGAAACGCTGCATAAACACGCCCTCGTCCTGGGGGAGCATCGTCCCCAAGCTGCCAATGTGTCTACACTTATCAGCTTAGTTCAAAGAAGAAACAAGTCTGATCATTGTCACCCTGCAATGTGTACAAGCCTGCGGTTCGCAATGTACTTCTGCACACGATGTCCTCGCATCTGACTTAAAAAGTAAATTCACACCCAGGGCAGGTGCAGCTAGGCAACTTCACAGGTGCCGGAAACAGCTTCTGAGAGATTCAGATTCAACCCACAGAGACTGAGTGTCTACTCATGCCAGCCCTGGACAGCAGCATCAGCAGCTGCTAGACTGGAGCAAGACCTGTTCACCCTGGTCCAAAATGTTCCGCATGAAGAAAGGGTTACCCATCAAACCAGTCTGGGAAACAGTCCAAACTCTGGCCCCTTTTGAAGAATCGCAATGCCTCTGAAAATAGCAAAGGCTCTGATAAGTCCTGCAGCAATTCTATTTAACAAGTTTCCTGAACATGGCCTCTTTTACAGAAAACTTATGAACAGTCTGCACAACTTGGGTTCCGAGAAACACATTCTGACAAATAGTAATCTGTCCGAGAGAAACAGCCTAAAGGTGGGGTTTCGGATGCTTGAATGAAGGATGCATCCTCGGGCAGTCTCCCTCAGTCCCTCAGATGACAAGAGGAGCATTTGCTTCTCGGGGCCTCCGGAAAGAGAGCGCAGGGGAGGCCCAGGTCTGCAGGACCCCTGGCTGTGGCCAGGCTGGCAAGCAGACGCCCAAACCTTGGCTGGGCAGAGCGTGTGTGCAGCTCTGGGACCGTCATTTTTGGGGGGCGCCAGGGTCAGGCAGCTGGAACAGCCAGGACACAGATGTTCCAGCCACTCTCGGATCCCGGCCTGCACGCCTGCCTTCCCTAATTCCAATATTTGGCTGCCGCTCTCACCTAATTCATATTCCAATGTCAACACTGCATAATCTTCCCCAAACACCAACAGCCCCGGAGCTGGGAAAGGGGAGGGGACGGCTGATGCGTGGGGGGGGGGAGACCAAGGGGAGGGGAGAGGAGGGAGCAGGAAGCAGGAAACCCCCAGGAGCCCCCAGCAGGCAGGCAGCACTCCATCGGACCCCCCGCTGGGCCAGCAGGACCCACGAGCCTCTTGGAGAGACAAGGCTGCAGCCCCAGAGGCACCCAGCATCCACGCTGTACAGTCAGGGGCACGAGTTGTGCCCCAAGCTGAGGCCTCTTGTGCTCAGAGAAGGAGCAGCAGAGCCCACCCTGCAATCAGGCTGGGCTGTCTGGGAGGGCGGGTCTTGCGGGAGATGCGGGAAAGAGAGCCCACCCCAGACAGGACACTAGGGTCTGGCTGCAGCTCTGCCTCACACTGGCTGAATGGCCGTAGGCAAGTCACTCAACCTCCGGCTTCATTCCATGTATAAAATGAGCAGGTTGCCTGTCTCTGAGACCCACAGGCTCTGACATCTGCAGAGGAGGCAGGAGAGCACTGGGAAAAGCTGCATGGGCCCCGGCGCAAAGTCGACTGTCCTGCCTTGCAACCTCCCTGGACCCCAGCATACTCATCTGTAAGTGCGAGCAATGTGCATCTACACATGGGGAGCTCATCAGGATTAAATGAGACACAGCGTGTCAAGCATGCATTTGCACCAAGCTGGGCTCTGAAGGGCCTGGAGCAGCTAGAGCAAGTCCTGCTCGCTATGCGCCTTCTCTGCCCAGACCCTCCCAGGCCTCATCTCGCGGGATCCTCGCGAGAGCTCTGAGCGAGAGACTGTTATTAACCCATTTTACCGAGGCAGAAACTGAGGCTCAGTAACTGGCCCACGTTCACAGCTGGATGTGGCATGCAGCCGGAAGGGAACTGACGTCTGTGATGCCAAGGCCCGGGCCTGTCCCAGCATCCCACGCCGCCTTTCTAAGCTCCAGGAATGGCTAAGGAGGAGACCCGGGGCCTGGGAGTAGCCCCACGGCCTGGCTGGCAGAGGGGGCCGGTCCAGGGGTGCAGCTACAGGATTCGAGATTGCAAGCCACCCCCTTGTAGGATCTGGTCTCCATCCTGACCAGCCTCCTCCCCCACCCCCACCCCCACCCCCAGATCCTGGCCCCACCCTACCCGCCCCTCCATCTCTGCCCACCACCACCTTCCCCGCACCCTCCTTCCACACTCCGTTCCCAGGCAGCCGTCCTCCCTGGTTCTGACCACAAACTCCCTGGAATTCAGTGACCTCCACCCAGATTCTCCCCAGGGCCACATCCAGGCAGACTTCCGGAGGACAGCTGCTAATAAATATGTGTGAGATTTGCATGCGATTTGCATACACTTATAAGGACCTGGAAGGCAATTTTCAAGTGAAATATTATCGAGGCTGCTCCCCCTCCTTATCTCTCTACTTCTTCCTTTCCGTTGACCCCACCCCCAGGCACTGGCCTGCTTCCCCATTTCTGAATGTAATGTTTTAAAAAATAACAATTGCCATTTATGGACACCTACCACGTGTCTGCCGGGGCCCCTCACAGTGACCACCAAAGGGACTAGAACTGGAGGGGATCTGAGGGGACCCAGGAAGAGCACCGCCTGCCTTCCCAGCAGGTGGAAACACGGGCTGCGTCTTTGAGACCTGGCTGGGAATTGGCACATTGTCTCTTCGACCCACATTCCATTGACCAGAGCGGGTGGGGTGGCTGAGGCCTTCATTCCCAGTAGGAGAGGAAGATGCACCCCCAGCGAGCCCGGCAGGGGACGGAGGGAAGCAAGATTGTCACCAAATAATTTGATTGCAGCATTTCTTGCCTCCAAGAGCTTGGCGCTGACTCACCGGCCTGGTTGGCGTCACTGCCCTTCCCTGAAGCGACCACGTGGCTGAGGAGTGGGAGTAGGGGGGCGGCTATGGGTCCCACCCAAACCTCACAGACTGAGGCAGAGTTTGGGGGAGGGGGGTGCTGTTACCACAATAAGGGGCAATGGATCCTATGTAGGTAAAAAAAGGTGCATGCAAACCAGCGCTCAGCGCTCCTCAACCACAACACGCAAGCACATCAGCTGGGGATCCTGTTACAACGCAGGTTCCGATTCAGTAGATCCAGGGTGGGGCCTGAGGTTCTAAAGGGTCCAGGTGATGCTGGTGAGGCCCAGCAGCAATGATCTAGAATGAAACTGGGGGACCAGCCCCGTGGCCGAGTGGTCAAGTTCACACGCTCCACTTCGGCGGCCCAGGGTTTCGCCAGTTGGGATCCTGGGCGCGGACATGGCACCACTCATCAAGCCATGCTGAGGCGGCATCCCACATGCCACAACTAGAAGGACCCACAACTAGAATATACAACTATGTACTGGGGGGCTTTGGGGAGAAAAAGGAAAAATAAAATCTTAAAAAAAAAAAAACAGAATGAAGCTGGGACAGTCTCTCGGCCTTCCTATGCCACATTCTCTTTTATAGGATGACACTTCCACCCCCCGTGCAGACTTCTCTTGGCAAAGACGACGGGCCCTCCAGGAGTGAGGGGACGTGATGTTTGTGCCATGTCTCACCCCCCGCCCTTGCCCCCGCGGCCCCCCAGCCCCCAGGCCCGCCGGAGACAGGACGCAGCCGCCGGTGCAGCGGCCCGTTCCTGCCACAACGCGGCGTCACCCCAGACCCAGTTAGGGTCACCAGGCAGGCAGTCAGGCGCACCGCAGCGAGCTTACTGCCCAATCAACGCTCAGCCCCAGCCGCCTCCGAGAGTGGCGCAGGTACACGACTCGCCCACCCCACCCCCGGGAGGGGACAGGGCGCCCAGGATGGAGCGTCTCAAGGGGGATGTTCTTAGGAGACGAGCCCGAGGCTGGTGAGGTGACAGTGTGCAGCCGAAAGAGCTCGAGCCGGTGACCGCCAGGAGCCCTCAGCCGGGTCACTGCGCTCCAGGGGCTGGGCTTTAACTTCCGGGGCAGAGGTCCACCCCGCCTCTGCTGCTGGACAGCGGCAGGCACCGCCTGGTGTTACAGCCTCAGTTCCCTGTCTGTTACAGAAGGGCATTCTTAACAACCCCTGCGAGGGTGTTGTGCAAACTGGATACGACAGTCTGCACGTGGCTTCGTAGTTCCTGCACGGCGCTTTTTGCCGTCTCCCTGTCTAGGCCGCAGTGGTCCGCCTGTAAAATGGGGATAGTAAGTCCCGCCCTGCAGAAACTAGAAGGATCATCATGTAAGTCAAGCGAGATGCCACGTGTCCGGGGAGACTAGAGCATTTCGTTAAGATGCCCCGTGCCCGGCTTTCTGCTCCTCTCTCCAGGGCACAGCTGTGTTCCGGTCCCCAGGTCTCTGCGGCCCCACAACGGGCCGTGGGTGGTCAGCCCCGCTCAAGAGGTGTCATTCTGATGGTTTGGGTACATAAAATAGAGAAGAGGCATTTCTTGAGCCATGATCTGTGACATTCAAACGAGCCTCGAGTGAAGACGCCAAAAGGGAAAACATAGTCCAAGAAGGTGGTTGAAACAGTGCAGGTGAGACTCGAGAGGGGAGCGCGAGATCCCAGCGCAGGAGAACTCAGGCGGCGGTACCGACGCACGCCGGCGGGGCGGGAGGGGGCTGCACGGAGAGTGGTTAGTGTCTGCGGGAAAGACGGGGGCTTCTCGGATCGTCCTGTGTGCCCCAGCTTCCAAAGCACGCATCCACGTGGATGCACGCACATGCCGAGACACACAGACGCGCAGATACACACGGACGCGCATACGCATGCGCGTCCCCGGAAACGCGCACAAGCAGACACACACGAGCACCTGCAGTTCGCACCCACAAATAAGCACACACACAGGCATGCACAGAGATACGTGCACACACAGACAACACACGCATGCGCACGCAAACAAAGCGCACCCAGACTGACACAGACGCACGCACGTTCGCTCAGCGATACCTTAGGATCCACCAGGCCCTGGAAGTTGGCGCTGACGATTTTCCCACGATCCTTTCCAGCTGAGCCTGTGATCCCACAAGCGTCCACAAGAGGGCGCGCAGGAGCCAGAATTCAGGAGGCCCTGGCGAGCGGGTACTGAGAAGTGATGGTCACAACGCGGAGGCCCAGAGAGGGAGCGGGCGCGCCCCAGCGCGCAGCCAGTGACCCCTGCCTGTCTCCCTGCGAGGATCAGGGTCAGGAATGGGGAGGTGCGGGAACTTGTCTTGTTACCCGCCTGGCTGGAGAGGAAGAGTCAACTAGGGAAGCGGAAGTTAAGTTCTGAGGTTTTGTCACACACTGTCCCTAACCGACCGTGACCCTGAGTAAGTGCCTTGGCTTCTCGGGCCCGCAGTTTTCTATGAGGAAGCTGCTCTCCCTCACCCACGCGTCTCCGGACCCTCGGGAGACCCGTAGCCACGCCTTCCTGCATCCACAGGCATCCAGATCTTTGGGTCTCTGCTGCTCCTCCCCATCCAGGGCGCATGCTGGCACCTCCCCAGACAGGCCTCCTCCGATGGCGCCCCACCCCATTACCATTTTATTTGCATCACCTTATTGCTTCTTGAAACTGCCTTGTCTATTAATGTGCTTCCATGTTCATTTTGTCTCCTCCAGGAGACGGTAAACCTCAGGAGAACAGGGACCTGGGTGTCCTGTTCCCCCAGCCTGGTATCGCTGCACCCAGAACGGTGCCTGGCACCCGCGGGCGACACTCAATGGGCTGAAGCGCCGGTGCGTGCTGCGTGCTGGTGCTGCCCTCTGGTGGCGCCGGGCCCCCATTGCACCTGGCTTTCTCCTGCTCAGCGGGGGGGCCTTTTTTCTCCCACCCACCTGTCGCCAGGGCCATCTCTGTGGGACCCTGGGGGTGCAGATAAGCGGATCTTATCTCCAGGGTTCGTCGCAGCCGGATTCAGACGAGTGAGGGACCCTCTCTGGCACCTAGTATTTGAACAGTCAGCCTCAGAATTAATAAAGCTGAGTTTAGCGTATGCTGTGGACTGTGTCGGGAAAAGACACCTTCAGGGCAGAAATACGATGGTGCCTATATCTACAAAGTCTAACCGAGACAGCGAGACAAGCCAGTCCAACTGCCCCATTTTACAGACAAAGTCACTGAGGCCCGAGCCAGGACAGGAAGATAAAATTGCCTGCTTTAGAAAAACCTAGAGCGACTGTCACCCATTCCGCCACCCACCGATAACAGGGCAGTCACATTTGATGCAAAGCGTGTGCTCCTGAAGACCTTGCATAATTCAAAACGTGCATAATTCCAGACTAATTTTGCCACAGAAATGAATGCAAAGTCGAAAGGATGTGTTGCATAAATCCACCCCCATTGTGGGATATTTTGGCTTTAACGCTGCTCTTTATTTTCCCGGCATTCTCTCTAATATTTCACAGCGCCCTCTCTCCCAAATTAACAGTGCAGCGTTTCCTGCCGGGGGTCCGGCCTTCTTCATAACATTATATTACATCTCTCTTCCTTCCCGACGTTATCGATTTTCAGGTGCGTTTTTCAACACCACCACTTAAAGGACACTTGGATGACATTGTTACCGGATACGGATAAAAGATTTAAAGTTATAATAACTGTGAATGTTGAGAAAGCGGCGCGATCATCTCCAAAATCCCCTGCAGAAATTAGAAATTCGGATGCATGCCAACAATAGTGCGTGCATATACAAGCCAGGTATTCCTAGTTAACGACCAAAGCGACGTGGCCACGTGGCAGGTTTCCAATCCCAGTTAACAACTCACTTAGCTCCTCCCACTAGGGAGCTGCAGTTCTTGACAGCTTTTTTAACTGAGGGGCTTTGCATTATTTTGAGCTGACTGCATAAACATTTTTATGTGGCATTTTCCCAAAGCCACATAGGTAGTTGAATTTCTCCTAAACGGTGACCTCGCCCCGGATGATCTCCCTTGCTATGTCCTTTACTCCAGAATGGTGGAAATGTGTGACCGCACCCAACAATCACAGCTATGGACTTCGGAAACTCCAGCCACCTGCCCCATATCCACGCAGGGGCCGGTGTGGAGGCAGCCTCGGCAGAGGCCCGCCCGCCCCCGGAGGGCTGGCCCCGCCCCTCCTCCAAGTCGACTCCTCTTGGGGACTGGAGAGGGGGCTCCCCTCCGAAGAGTCCTCCTGTCTCCTCCTGCTCCCACTTCCCACGAGCACTGGCTGGAAGCTGTCTGCCACTCTGTTCCAGCTACCCCCCTCCTCAACATAGATCCATGCTGGGGGCAGGCGGGGAGATGAAAGAAGCTGGGTGTCAGTTTCAAGCATTCACAGGACCATCAGACTTTCCACGTTGCCGAGAAGAAGATGTCGGTACAACTCCTGTGAGGTGTCTCCTTGGCCTTCCTCTGCCTGGAACTGCCTCCTGAAAGCTCCCTCAGAAGAGAAAGGGCCAGGCCCTAGGAAGGAGCACAAGAGGGCCACCAGCACAGGCTCTGACGCCCCCCCCTGCTGGGATTCCGGGCCTGCTTCCACCTCCAGTGACCTCGAGCAAGCCCCTACCCAAGACAGCGCCCCTCGCTGGGCCTCAGTTTCCACCTCTGTAGGGTGGGGACATTAATAACCACCTGCTTCCCAGGGTCCCTGTGAGAATGAAATGCGCTCCCCCGTGTGACAGCGCCAAGCACCCGGTAATGAATGGGACACATGTTTGCTGAGGGCCTGGGGTGTCTGCGGGCCAGGGTCAGCATCTGGGAAGTCCCACCCCTCAGAGAATTTGTGGTCCCACCTTAAAGAGTGACCCGGCCAGGAAGACTCTCCCCACTAATTCAGATTCACCCGTGGGGATGCACGGGGAATCGCTCAGCGGAGGAGGGCCAGGGTCCCGGCTCTAGCTTTGCCCGAGTGTCTGTCACTCTCCTTCCACCTCTGGGCCGCCTCTAAGACTTGAGGAGCTTGGACAGGAGCCTGGGGGCCTCTTTGACCCCGGGTTATCCATTCAGACTTGCCCCTCCCAGCGGGCCGCCCCCTCCCTGGGCAGCCAGAGAATCTGCAAGTTTGCCCAGGGAGTACGTCTGGTGGTCTCAGAACCACACTCCTTCCAGCCCTCAGGAGTCAGCCGGGTGGCCAGGCCCAAAGGTGATGGCCGCAGCCCAGCCTTCGTCTTCTGGACCCCCACCCACCTCCACCAAGCTCTGTTTTCCCCCTCGGAGCCCAGATTATACTTCATGGACAATCCCTTGCTCTCTCTGGGCCTCAGCTTCCCCTCGCAAGAATGGGCAGCCTGGATGTCTCCAGCGGTCCAGCTAAGCCTTCTCACAATGTAGGAATTCGCCTCCAGCCTCCACTCCCTGCCCCCACTGCCGGTGCCTAAGGACCTCGCCCCCCTTGCCCCACCCCTCCTCGTTGCTCCCTCCCCTCTCTCCTCCTCTGCTGCTGCACTGGGGCCACTGCTGGCTGGGGTCCCAGGCACCAGAGGGGGACCCCACAGAACAGTAGAAGGAAGGGCGGTGGTCTTTAGGAGGAGAGAATGGGATGCCCTGGCTCCATCAAGCCAGCCCATTCCTGCCCCTCTCCTGTCATGTTTTAATGTCTCTTCACATTCTTATCTCCCACCAACAAGGAGGCTCCTGAGGGTGGGGCGGGAGGGAGGGGGGGAAGGGAGGGTGGCATCCAGCCTTTCCCCTCTGTATCCCCAGCACCTGGATCCTGGGACCTGTTTCCTGACGGGACAGGGCAAGGTCTGGGGCAGGAGCCAGGACGATAACATGGTCCTGGCCTGTGGCCTGTTCAACATGCTCCAAGTGTCCCCACAGGGCCAAACCATGCCACCAAGACAGGGCTGCCCTGGGCCCTCCCTCGGCTGTCTCCTCCCTCCCTTCTCAGCTCCTCTGCCCTTTAATCTCTCACTCCCGCTTCCCTGCCACCCAAGACCTCCTCTGCTTGTGTCCAGCCTTCCTCCTGGAGAGCCAGTCATTTCCAGCTCTTTCTGACTCCAACTGGAAGGGGGGTAGGGATGGGGGAGAAGGGGCTTTGGATCACGAGGGTAGAGGAAGGGAGGCAGGACCCTCACAGTGCTCTGGCTTCAGGGCGAAATGTCGAAAAATCATTCAGAACTTCTTCCTATGGGAAATTCGCCTACTTGCGTAATTTTCATATCCAATTCTGCTACAAGAGCGTCTGTGTCCTTCCCACCTTCAGTTCCGTTTCTAAACACTCTCTTTTATTACTTGAGTTATGGGAAGTGCCAGGTCCCAATAAGTGTGTGGGGGGGACGAGAGGTGGCAGAGGAGGAGAAATGCCTCAGTGACAGTGAAGAATCGCTAAGTGTGGTTTCGTTGAACCCAGATCCTGGTGTCAGCCCTGAAATTCCTCCTCCTCCAGGAAGCCCTTCTGGGCTGGGGGGAAAGCCCCTGATTTAAGAAACAGTATCAGATGTTTCCTAGATCTAACTGGGCTCTTGTTCTCCTGCCTCTGCCCCTCGCCGCCTGAGGAGCCCTTCCTCCATATGTGTCCAAGTGCCCCCATCTGTCACTGCCAGGTATAAAGGGCACTACTTCCCAGGAGAAGAGCCTAACCCTCCCCAGGCACTTTCTACCCTGGGCTGCCGTGATCACAGGTCTGGGGACCAGCCTGGCTTCGCCCAGGTGTCTTTCAAGTCACTTTCAGCCCCTGGGGCTTCTCTTCAGAAACCTCAGCGGTGGATACAAGCTTACCGGCCAGTTAGGCCACCCTGCCCTGGGTGTCATCTCCTAGCTAGCCTGTGAGCAAGATCCCTGACCCAGATTCAGGGGACACCGAGGAATGCGTCCATTCATTGGGTGACTCAGTGGATGAATTCAGAGCTTGGGGACACTGAGACCTAGAGCTGTCTCGACATTAAGCCTCTGGGCCACCTCAGCAACTGTCCTTCCTTTTCCGTCCCAGCCCAGTAACAACATCACCTTCTAGGCCACCAGCCAGCCAGCCACACCCTCAGCATGACCTCGGGGGAAATGATCAAAAAGGGTGACAATGTGTCCTCTCGCTGTTTTTTTTCTTCCAACATAATTATACACCATGGAGATAATAATACTAACTGCAAATATTTATTAAACGCCTATTGTATGCCTGGCACTCAGCTCTAGGCTTTCCTGTGCAATATCTCATTTAATCTTCATGATCCTCCATGAGGTGGGGTCTCTATTAGCCCCCAATTTCCAGACCAGGAAACGAGGCTGGAAGAAATGAAACTTGCCAAGGTCACATAGCAAGCTGGTGACAGAACCTGGAGACTCTGTGAAATCATTTTTGATGCATTTGTGTGGCAATATTTTTGCATTTCTATA